AGGTGGCTCAGTTGGTTGGAGTATCGTCCAGTACACCAAAAGGTTTTGGGTTTGGTCTTCAGTCAGGGCACATACCTAGGTTGCACCCCGGAACCCTGGTCAGGGTGCATACAGGAGGCAACCTATCGATGTTTCTCTCTCACTTTGATGTTTCTCTTTCCCTCTCCCTCTCTCTCCTTCTCTCTTTCTCTCTCTGCCCTCCTTCCTCTCTCTCTAAAATCAATAAACATATCCGTGGGTGAGGATTAAAATAATAATAATAAATAAATAAAAGATAAAGTAAAACAAATACTAAAAATAACCCTACTCCTCTCTACCCCTCCTATCCTTTTTTTCTTTTTTATTGAATTTATTGGGGTGAGATTGCCTCCTCCTCTGTGGTAACGACTGCTGCTGACCAGTTGGGGTATGTATACGTACAGACATCCAGATATTTTGTTGGACCCTATAGACATATATATTCATATGTGCTGAAAAGTAGATGGGAGCCCTGGCCAGATAGCTCAGTTGGTTAGAGCATTGTCTTAATATTCCAACTTTGAGGGTTTGATCTTCATTTATGGCACATATAAGAATGAAGCAATGAATGCATAAATAAGTGGAACAACAAATTTATGTTTCTCTTCTCCCACTCCATTCCTCTCTCTCAAAATCAGTAAATAAAAATTTTTAAAAATGGATGTGATTATTTTATAATACAATCTGAAACTTGGTATTTTAAAATTTTTTATTGAGATGAAATATACATCCAGAAAAAGTGTACATAAATGGATAGCTCAATGAGTTTTTCGCAAATTGAACTACCTATGTACATAACTAGTCCCCAGATCAAGAAACATTACCAAAAAAATCCACAACACATTACGCTTTTGGAACCCCTCCTATAAATTTGACCGTGATACTGTTGAAGCAGAGTGGCTAAGTACTTTCCAGTGGCAGAGTAGGAACTTCATTATCTGTTCTATCTTGAAAAATGAATTAAGGAAGTTATTAATGATTTCAGCTTTGGTGGCTGTTAATGAGAACTTGAGTCATTTAAGTGATTTGGATCTTTTTTTTGCTATAAAGTTTACTAGGGTAATTATTTATTGAGGACTATTACTATGCGTGCCTTACTGTATAAAATTGGGAAGAGAGAAGAATAAAGGCAAATATAATACTAGCTTTGAGTTACAGTCTAACTTAGGAAGACAAATTACATTAGACAACAGAACAGTTAAGTACCAAATTGTATAGTAGTGATTCAAAAGAAGGATTCATTGCTGACAGCATCAAAGAAGCCTCCACAAAGGAGGTGGAATTTAAGCTGGACCTTGAAGAATGGGTAGGATTTGAATGGAATGGTGATAACTTTACAAGTCATGGCAAGAAAGTAGAAATGGATGAACATGATCCGTAGATAATGAGCAAACAGAACAGTCTCTCTGGTGTGGGGAAAACTTGCTGAGGAAAGGTAGGGAGTTAAGATTGGTAACGTTTGCCAGTGCCAGGCTATAGACCATATATAACAGCCACAGAGTGGAAACTTGGTTGGGTGAGATAAGCACCAGTGAGCCATAATATAGCTTAGTGGATAGGAGTATTAGATTTGGAGCCAGAAAACTCAAGTTCTCATACTGACTTTTCCACTTACCAGCTATGTGACCTAGAGCAGATAATTCAACCTCTCTGGACCTCAGTTTCTTTATCTGTAAAATGGGGGGAATTTCTTCTTTTCTTTTTTTTTAAGATTTTCTTTTTTTATTTATAGAGAGGGAAGGGGGAGAGAGAGAGAGAGAGAGAGGGAGAGAGAGAGGGAGAGAGAGGGAGAAACATCAATGTGCGGTTGCTGGGGGTTATGGCCTGCAACCCATGCATGTACCCTGCCTGGGAATCGAACCTGCGACACTTTGGTTCGCAGCCTGTGCTCAATCCACTGAGCTATACCAGCCAGGGGAATTTCTATTTTAGAGGTTTATTATGGTGATAAAATAATAAAGTGTATGTGGGGGTGGGTGGGTGTATTGACATAGGGCCTTGCACCTAGTAAATGTGCAATACATTGAACTGTTTTTGTAGTTCTTAAGAGCAAATGGATGAAAGCAGTGGTATGTTGAATAATGGAGACTAGAAATAAGTTATAATTGCCCCCACAGACGTATGGTAAGGATCTTTGTTGGGGTAGTGGTAGCGATATAGAAAGAGTACATTTGATGGACATGGAAAGAAATTGGACTTGAATTCCTGTTTAGGAGGAAATGTTTTGGGTGTTCTTGTGATCTTTTCTTTTTAAAATCCTTATTTATTGATTTGAGAGAGAGAGAGAGAGAGAGTTGTTTGTTGTTCCCCTTATGTATGCATTCATTGGTTAATTCTTGTATGTGCCCTGACCTGGGAAACAACCTCCAACCTTGGCATATCTGAACAACACTCTTACCAACTGAGCTACTGGTCCAGGGCCATGATTTTTTTTTCCTTAAACAGTTATAATTCCTCTGTGGTTTCTTGGATGGTATAGATACTTTTGGCAAGATATGTTTGACTTTTTAATTTCAGTTAGAGTATTTGAAAACCCTTAAGAGTTTCTCGTTTATACTTTAAAAGAGGATATTCGAAGTTTTGTCTGAATTACCCAGTTGTCAATAACATTCGTGATAATAATGGCAAGACAAGTATGTTTGTTTAATTTTTATTTATTGATTTTTAGAGACGGGGAGGGGAGAGATGGGGAGAAACACTGATTTATTGTTTCACTTACGCATTCATTGTTATGTGCCCTAACTGGGAATTGAACCCCCAACCTTGGTGTATCAGGATGGTGCTCCAACCAACTGAGCTATTAAACTAGGACGCTTGTTTGTTTTTGATGTCTTGGTGAATTAATTGACACATGAGTGAACATGGAAGATATTAATCCTTAAAGAAAAACAAATGTCTTTATTGAGAAGACTAGAGTTTGGGGGAAAGTACTGCCTCAGAGGTTTCCTTAGCTGTGGCTGCATTGCTCAGTTAGTTAGAACGTCACCCTGATATGCCAAGGTTGAGGTTCCAGGTTCCATTACTGGTCAGGGCACATACAACAGTCAATCAATGGATGCACAAATAACTAGAACAACAAATGGCTCTCGCTTTCTCAAAAAAGTAAACAAAAAATGTTAAAGCTAAACCATAGACATTCTTTAGACAACCATAGACAGCCTTTTCCATAGACATCAGGAATAAGCTATTTTAAACAGTATCGTTTCCCTGACCAGTGTTGCTTGGTTGGTTGGGCATCATCTTGCAAAGTGAAAAGGGCTCTCATTCAATTCCTTGTCAGGGCACATGCCTGGGTTGCTGGTTGGTCTGGTCCCCTGTCAGGGCATTTATAAGAAGCAACCTATCGATTTCTCCCTCCCTCCTCCTCTCTCTAGTAATAAATAAAATCTTTAAAAAAGAAACAAACAGTAGCTTCTTGTAGTATTGTTTAGTTATTTTAATATGGACAATGCCAGGGGATTGCTAAGTGATGTGGAGGAGAATTGTAACTGCTTTGTGTTCTTGAGAATTTTATTTTAGGTCAGTAGAAGGTGGGAAGGAACTGGACACACCTCCTAGCTGAACTGGCAGACTTTTGTGGGCAGAATTTAAAATAAAAAAATTTTCTCATTTGGTTCTCTTCATGTAGACCCTGATAAAAGCTAGGCTATGAGACACCAATGAAGTTCCTCAATATATCTTAAACCAGAGTCTTTTAATTTGCTTAGAACAATGAACTGGTTTTAAAATGGGTATGTTTTCAGCTCCTTTTTCATTTTCAAGAAGATAGAGGTTATATATATGAAATGTTCTAAGCTTCATATAAGAAAGGTCTACTTAAAGTATTTTTGTAGTAGGTTGTGTTTTAATTATAGTAGTACTTGGGGGAACTAAGCGGTATTGTAGTGTGATTTAGATATGTAATATTAGTTGCCAGAATTCTGTGGACAAAAATGACATTATAGGTAATAGCTTACCTTCCCTCAGCCCCTTTTACTTTTTTCTTGAGCCCCACTGCGCCTAAGCAAATATCCTACAGTCCTTAGCATATTACATCTCAGCAGTGTTATGCCCCTAACGTTGGCATTAGTAATTGAAGTGTTGATGCAACCTGCCAGTTTTATATCGCGGCATGGCAGTTGCAGAGTTTTTTCTATTAGGTGTATGGCTTGAACAAGACTTAAGATGTTTGCTTCCTGGTTTTACTGAAACCTGCTAAGGGAGCGGTTAGTATGGGTTTAATTGGATGTAGTTGTCTTGTGTCTGAGCTGGGTTGGAGCTGTGTGTGTGTTTTGGTGTTCTTTTTTGCTTATGATTTAATGTATTCCTTCTCCTCCCACCACCAACTTCCAGGCACATACCTTTCCAATAAGCCCGCCCCCTCCCCATTCCTTAATTTCTACGACACTAGAAGAAGGAGTTTCAGACAGGGTGGTTTGAGGTATGCAGCTGAACCTTATGCAAACCTAAATCTATTCATGGTTATGAAGGAGCGTAGTTGATTAGTCTGAGGAAATAAGGGCGAGGCATAGCGGCCTGGGGAGCATCTTTTTACTGTTGAGTGTTTCCCAGTGGCTATTGCTGTGGAGGTCTGAGGCACTCTGGGAGGTTCTGCCTTGGATAAGGGTCTCTCTTAGTACCCAGGCAGAAGATGGGCGGGGGAGTGGGAAAAGGGGCGCGGTATCACCTGGCCCGTCCATGGGGTACTAGGCTCCCCGCTTTGGAGTGGGGGCCAAGAGAGATGGGGGCAGCTCTAACAAAGAGGAGCCGCGCCGGGGCCGGGGCCGCGGGTAACTGGCCTATCCCCGGCGGCTGACCTCCCAGTGGGCCTCCCCAGTTGGCTGCTTGGCGAGTCGCTCTGCTGGCTTCCTGGCTCGTCATTGGCTTGAGGACGGGAGGGGGATCGCAGAGGGCCGGGATGGAGTTGAGGGGGCGGGGCTGGCTTCCGGCGGCGAAGGGGAGCTAGCGGCAGCAGGCTGGGGGAGGGGGTGTCGGCGCACCGCGGAGTGCTGCGCTCGGAGAGCCTGGCATCCGGACCAGCCGCCTCTCCCCGGAGCAGACGCCTCCCCTCGCCCGCTCCCCCCGCCCCAACCAGGACCACTAGAAGCCCCTTCTCTTTCATTCTCTTGGGGCGGGGCGAGGAGAGTTGAGCTGCCCCAGGCGGGCGGGGCGGAGTCCAGAGCCCCACCGAGCGCTGCGGAGCGAACCTCACCTCTCTTCCAGGGCTCAAGGTGTGTGTGTGCTTTTTCTAACGCAACCCCGACTTCTGTCGACTTAACCTTGAGGGGAATGGAATGTGAAGTAAGAGCTCCACATCCCTTCAGTTTATTTTGATTTTCTAATTCTACCCTTCATTCCTCTTTCCCTCCTTCATCTCACCCCTGCAGCCGGGTAAGAAGATTCAGGACTCATCTCTTTTTACTGATGCGTCGATGTCGGTCGCGTAGTGAAATAACAGAAGAAAAGAGAAGCCCTTTCTTATTGGCATCTGACGCAGTAAACCGCAAAAAAAGGGGGAAAAGGCTAGGAATAGGTTTTTGGAATGTTCTACATCTTGTCCATTAAAACTGTCTTCACCGTTTTCCTGCTTGGGACTGCCTTAATCAGCAAAAACTATCTGAAAAGGAAGATGCTAGTGGAACTAGGGAGAGCCCCCTTCAAATGGTGGCTAAGGGAAATCCTGATAGTTGTTAGCTATTAACTCCGCTAAAGTCTCTTCCCGAGTACATTTTCGCCGTTTTGGGTAGGACTAAGCCCTTCTGTAGAATCCTAGCTAGAGCGAGCAAACTTACCTTGCTGTTACTGAAACTTAAAAGTCTTAATCTGTTTTCCCACTGGTCTGTTTCTTATATCCATAGGTTTTCAGAGAGAGTAGTTTTGGTCGTCAGAAGCCAAAACCAAACTTGAAAAAGTATCCAGATGAATTTTAATTCATTTATTTTTTTAACCCCGCCCCCAACTTTATGAATTTGAGTGGCTGTAGCATTATAATTTGAATTCTGTATTTCTGTTTTGAGTTCCTTTGCTTCTACAACTTTTGGGTTTCTTCTTTCTGAAGGACACATAGCTTATCTTCAGCAAAAGTCAGTAACCTCTTTATAGGTTTTTAATTGAGAGGAAAGTTATCAACTGATAGAAAACCCCAAATTTATAATAGAAACAAGGGGTGTATGCATGTATGTGTTGCACCTATGTCTGCATTGAGTGGCAATTTCATGGTAAACTTTTTAAAATTGTATTTTATTTTATTATTTTCTTAATCTTTACGGACTCTCTATTCAGATGGCTGGGATCTGAAAAGACAGTGGGCTTCTACCCTAACAGACCATCGTAAATTCCATTTTCAACCAACTTCTTTTGTAAGGAGAAGAAAAGTATAGGTAAGGGGATTGGAATTCAGGGGAAAGTTAATCAGATAAAAAGCTGCAGCATTCTTTCATCTGTGCCCTGGGTAGGGGGCATCTCACCTGGAGTACAATGGCTCAGATGCCATCTTGATTGCTTATAGTCCTTCTGAGGTCTCAAAAGGTGGGACTGCTTGTGATTTCCTGGAGTCAAGGTGGGTCATACCTTCAGTTCCTGAAACAATAGTGGAGAGTGCCAAAGGTGCAGAGTCCCCAGAATAGGAAACTGGGAAAGCCAGTGTTCGTGCTGCCTGTCACCTACCAGGCCCAGCAAGTAGAGACAGGGATTGAATCTTTATGGGCTCTTTATTTAAAAGGTCAGCAATATGAGAAGATGGTGGGTTTGTACCCTAACAGACCATCTTAAATTCCATTTTCAGCCAATCTTTTTATGAGAAAAGTGCATGGAAGGGGATTGGAATTCAGGGGAAGAGTTAATCAGATAAAAAACTGCAGCATTCTTTCATCTCTCTGTATTTTATTGTTTATGCTATTACATATGCTATTATCTCTTCTTTTTCCTCTTTTGCCCACCTCCACTCAGAGCCACCCCCCTTTCCCTCATGGTAAACTTGTTTTAACCGGGCATTTTTACCAAAGATGTTTGGACCAATTTATGTTAATGTTGATTAGCTAGAATGCCAGAAGGGATAAACATCAATTTTTGGGCAACATTTTAGTTAAAAAAAATGTTTGGAAGGTCTAATTGGCTTTATTAAGCAATGCATGAATTGGGCTGCATCCTAGCTAGCAACTAGAGGGGCATTCCTGTGTAAATATTAATTGAAGTGATTGAGAGTTCATTCTTGAAATCCAGGTTCAGTTTCCAGAGATTGTTTTAACTGGAGTTCAGTGTTGACAGAATTGGTATGCTGGAGCTATTTTACAGTTTTAGCTGAATTAGTGTTTTTTCTTTGTATTGATTTATTGTATTTCTAACCAATAAGGAGTGGTTTGGGGTGAAAGCAAGTATTATAAAGAATAGGGTCAATGAGACAGACCACCTCAGTTGTGGAAACTTATTAGGGATCAGAAAACTTAATATACTTTTTAAGAAATTCTCAAGTAGACAGTATAGAATTGTACAAAAAAGTTCTTGGGTTTGGTGTTTTTATTTCATTACCCATTTATTCGTTAAGACTCCATGAATAATATTTAAATTGAAAGGCAAAGAAGATCTCTTACTCAGGTGTTACTATGGAGAGTGAACTGTTAAAAATCACTAAAGTTTTGACAGCTAACCTAGTACAAAATGAAATGCATTTTGGCTAAGCTACAGTAAGCTGAGGAAATGACAGAAAAAACACGTGTGGGCTGTATTAAAGCATGTACCACCAGTTTATCTTGTTTTAACCAGAAAACAAGTTGTCTTCCTATTTGATATCCCAAGTGGTTTTTTCTTTGTCTTCCAATGGATGAGCAGTTAGTACAGCTTTATAAAGTTATATTACACTTTGCTCACTTAATTTCTTAATATTTCTGTTGTCTTGACTGATTTTTATAATCAGTATTTTGCATGGTACAGTGATTTCCCCAAAGAATTTTCCCCAGGAGACAAAAGGCTATATATAGAACTAATCTTAGGTATATCTGTCTGCACTGGTCTCCAAATATTATTTAAGGGAGATGGAAATCCTTAGATTTAGTCCCCTGCAAGAAAACATGAAACTATGACTTGCGAGGGGACATAGTGCTGCTGTGAGGATAAAATAACTGATTTAATTTTCTTAGCAGTCTGTTTTTATCGATTCTGCTTATTTTTGTGAAACACAGCTTTGAATGTGTTAAGGAAAAGGGCCCTATGTTTTCCTAAAGGGAGACTCAAGCTCAATCCCCCGTTCACATAAGTGTAAAATGATCCCCTTGAGAAGGTGAAGGCAAGATTGAGCCCTTGGCTTTGTTTGAGTCTCATAATAATCAGCTTGAGTGTTGTCAGGTTTGGAATTGGGTAAAGCTTGCTCAAGGTGAGAACATATTAGAGGCAAAAAGACCTGGGAATATTGCTGTATGAGAGATTTATTTGGAGAAGATGAATGCATTCATATGGAGATGCACTGGTGGTAGATTTTAGCTGTTCATCTTTGTCAGTCAGATGTCTGAAACAATATTTTGTGTGTGTTTTAAGCATAACCCCTGTCCCAGGGGTTGACTCTTGGCAGCTGAATCTTTTGAGGAAGTTGTTTGCTGTTCCTCTGAATCCAGAGGGTAGAGGACTTGGTGGAGTCTGTTATCTGTTTATGACCCAGATAAGGACTTGGAATTGGTTGCTGGTGAATTACTGAACTCTTCCTAATGAATGGTTGCTAGGCAAAGTGCATCTCAATCAGTTTAATCCTCAATAGTTTATAGGCCTGCTCTAGCTGATGGCCAGGGCTGCCTTAATGATACTGCCCTTTAAGAATCCTTTCGGATGTGCATGTATGTTATGTTGCTCAGTGGCTGAAAAAAAAAAAAAGGACTAGAACAATTTAGGGAGATCACTTCATCCATCTACTTACCTTTTGGTAACCTGGATCAGCATTATCATGAACATTTCTCCTGCATCAAGTGGTAGTGGTGGTGAGGGGGTTGCTCTCCAATATTAAGACACCACTCTGATTACCTTTGGTTTTGTAACTAGTAAGGCGGTGAACTAACACATTCATTGTTAGTTGGAAACAGGCCAGTGATAAAACTGCCCTTGGGCCTGGATGGATAGAAAAATAGGACAGAGTAAACAATCGAGGGCATAAATAATGAATCTTCCAACTGAGCCTTGGGAGAGTGAAGGAGATTATCCTTAGAGCTGTTCAATCTGGCAGTGAAAGGGAGAATCCACTGAATTAATTACCCTGACTGTGTTTGATACTGCACTTATATGTGATTGTTAGAGCTATTCAAAACACAGTTGTCTTTTAGATACAAACTTTTAACCCATCTTTTTTTGTTCATTTTGCTGTTGTTTTTTTTTTTAAGATTTTATTTATTTTCAGAGGGGAAGGGAGAGAGAAAGAGTGGGAGAGAAACAGTGATGTGAGAAAGAAACATCTATCAGTTGCCTCTTGCATGCTCCTGATCAGGGACCAAACCCACAACCCAGGCATGTTCCCTGACTGGGAATTGAACCTGTGGCCCCTTGGGCTACGGAACGATGTTCCAACCGAGCCAAAGCAGGCAGAGCCAGATCTTGGAATTTTTATTAGAGATTTCATTATTTGTAAATATATATGGGAAAAAAATTTAAAAAGAGAAAGCCTAATCCCAGTTTAAAAGAATCCTTTGGTATCTTGAATACATAGTGTACTCTGAAATTAAATGTGGGGTTATAGGGTATAATAATATAACAACTCCAAAGGTTAAGATAAGAGTTTCTTCAGCCCAACAATCATCTCTAGTGTTAATGTAAATATTTTTACTTTTGGATTAGTTTGTATCCAATTAATTAAATAAACAGTCTCTTAGTGGTCTCAGCTTTTCTTTGAGGTAGGAATAACTAATACCCCAAGAATGTCTAAATAACTTAGACAATGATTTGATAGTGAGGTCACACCCAGAGCCAAAAAGTCTCTAAATCCTTCCCTTCTCTGAATTTCTAATATATTTATTTTTTTCAAGAATTCCTTTCAGGATCCCCATTTGAAATGATTTAAAAATTTCCTCTCTCTACCTTGAGAAGCTGTTTTTATTTTTCTAGTGGGAAGGGAATCCAAAGACCAAGATGCCATTATTAGTCAAGAGAGGGAGGAAGTTTCAGGATGAGGTGTAGGAGGAATAAAAGATAGAGATGTAAAGGAAAGGCCAAGTTGAAATTTTATTATATTTAGTGCTGATGGATCCCAGGGAGGGAGTGTTGGACTGTTCAGATCAAATTTAGTCAAGGACTGAGTTTGTTAAATTTCAGCCTAGCTGAAAAGGGCAGAGGGCATCTTTACCAGCATATGTGCAGAACTGTAGTTAAGGGTTCATTCCTCATCAGAAAATATAGTCCATTCTTGATAATTCATGCAGAAGGGCAAACAGGCAAAGTATAGGTAAAAGATAAAGTTATTCCTAGGCCACATTTTTAAGCAATAGCTTTAACTTCCTGTACTTTTTAACTGGGATTTTCTAGCTGAACAAACTGATTAGAGATGTTTTCTTTGGTCATTCAAGAGATCAGTAAGCAAGATAGCCATGGGATTGGGTTACAGTTAGTTTCTTAATAATAACAAGTATTATAATAACTCAGTGTTAGATCTAGAAAAGTTCAGTTTAGTATCCTTGAGACAGTTTTATTTAATACTTTATTACTTGACCTTTGTTACCTAATTACACTGGGTTCCTATGGATAATTGAGATCTTCCAAGGAAATCATAAATAAACTAGTTCTTGAGACTGGTATATCTTCTTTGTTGGTGTCTTCTGGCTCCACAGTATATGCAAATCATTCATCGTGTGGGTGAGCTGTGGGTGAGCTGTGGATAGCCAAGCCAAAGAACTGTTACCCAGGCAAACCCCTCTTCTAACATTAGGCTTTATGTACTCTAATGATGAGGGCAGTTGGCCAAAATGAAAATCTGTTTAGAAGTCAGATTGTGATTAAAGAAGTACTACAAGTTATAAATTCAAAGCTGAGGATTTCTTTTAAGTGCTATTTAGTGGGAGTGGGAAAATGTTACATGCTTTTCTCTTTTTAATGGAAGAGCTGCTGAATATTACAGCAGTTTTATTTTTAAAATTTTTATTGTTGTTCAATTACAACTGTCCCCATTTCCCCCCATTTCCCTCCCTTCCCCACACCCCACCTTCCATCTTCAGTCCTTCCGCTCCATGCAGGTTCCCCCCACCCCGTTGTCTTTGTCCATGGGTCCTTTATACATATTCCTGGACTTGACTCTTCCCCTTCTTTCCCTCATTATCCTCCTCTGCCCTCCCCTCTGGTTACTGTCAGCTTGTTCTTTCTCTCCATGTCTCTGGTTCTATTTTTCTTGCTTGTTTTTTTTTTTTTTTTAAGATTTTATTTATTTATTTAGGGAGAGGGAAGGAAGTGAGAAAGAAAGGGAGAGACATTGATGTGTGAGAGATATGTTGATTCGTTGCCTCTCACACACCCCCAACTGGCGACCTGGCCCGCAAACCCAGGCATATGTCCTGACTGGGAATTGAACCAGCAGTGCTTTGGTAAGCATTGGTTCACATGCCTGTGCTCATTTCCACCAGCCAGTTTTAGAAGGCAAGGTTACCATGACCAATTGCTCATGCAAAGTGATTTTGAGGATTAGTTGCTGATCTAAGTAAAAATCAGATTTTTATGCCACTTAGAGAAGTGAAATTATCTAGCCAGCATCCCTGTTGCTTCAGAGGAGAAGCTGAAGTACTTCTACCGTTGGCATTTCATCGATTACTTATTAGATAGGACTTAAGTCCATTTTGAAATGAAAGGGGAATCAAGACTACAGAAGTTAAAAGGCAGCTTATCCCAGGTCACAGTATAAGAATGGAAAAGTCACATTTCCTGGGTTCCTGAATGGGCCTCTGCATTACCCAGCTATAGCTGAAAGTGGTTTTACTATTGTGAAGACATTAACTTTTTAGCTGTGAAGGTACTGCTTTGGCTTTTGCTTATCTTATTCTTCCAGAACCTCCTTCATTCAACAGAAAGTGGGACCAACGGGCCAATGAAGAATCCATATCTTGGTTTTAACCTGTTCTGTCAGATGTTATGGTACATTCACTAAAGTGCCTTAGAGAGGATTTTAGTACTTAGGCTTTATTCAGTCCCTGTGAGGTATGGTGCAATTGGAGTGTGATAATGTGTTAGAATATATTCCCAGAGAGACCAAAGGAACCTTTTCTTTTAAGGAAAGTCCTTTGCCTATTTCCATAGTCAGAGGCAAAATTGGATTGGAACAATGAAAAAACAGACTTAAAAATCCATGGCTGGGTTGTTTGGAGTGTCATCCTGTATACCAAAGAGCTGCGGGTTTGATTCTCAGTCAGGGCAAATACCTAGGTTGTGGGTTCGACTCCATCCCTGATCAGGGAGGCAGCCAATCCATGTTTCTCTTACATCAATGTTTCTCTCTGTTTCTCTCTCTAAAGTCAATAAACATATCCCCAGGTGAGGATTAAAAAAAAATTCAAGAGCTGAGTGGTTATCTTTTCTAGGGATACAGTAAGAATACAACTAATAACAAAATCAAATCTCTTGGGTAGTGCCCAAATAAACCTGGGAGCACGTACATTAAAAACAGTGCCAGACCGTCTGTAGTTCCCAGCAACAAGTGTTTCCTAGGATTCTGTTTACACATATGATGGCGGGTGTTGGGTCCATGTCACACATTACCTTTACACTAACACTCTTGCTACTGTGAGGGTAACACTTTGGAGAAGCATATGAACAAGAGTAATGAAGTACTAATACATATTTCCTTGTTACTGAAAATAAATAAATAAATGCAAACAAGTTGCTTTTTCAGCAAGCTTTATTTTAATTTATGCCTCTTCTCCATGCTGAATAAATTTCCCAAGTGAAATGTATTGTCCTTATCACTCACAGTATGTTTTGGGGAGATTGTTCCTTAGTTGCATCTAGAAGTGAGAGGCTGGTACCACTTCAGCCTGCACATCAACTTTGTAGCTTTCTAAAATTCCCTACCATATTTCTCCATCCCTCCCATCTGTCTACATCTGCTCATCTCTTGGCTCCCTACAACTAGTTAGGAAAGTTGCATTGCTCAACCAGGGAAATGCTAGTATTTTTCAAAGTCACAGTTGAATCTAACAGCAATCTTTGGTTGTGTGCAGGCTTACATTACTTTGTTGCATTATTGCTTAAAGAGTATTTCTACATTACAGAAACAAGATTTCCACTCTTCAAAACAAGCTGACAAATTTGCATTTTATTAAATGTGCAAGTGTTCATGAGTTAAACTTAAAATGAGAGGGGTTTGAGAGGGAAAAAACCGTATATTAGTTATAGCTTCCTTTAAAAAAAGCTGTTATGTAGTTAAAAGCTGTACTGCTCCCTTACACAGAAACTAGCAGATAAACCATGGAGAAACTATAGTTGCTCGGTGAGGACCACTCTGACTGTACTATTTAAAAGTCTCTACCTTAACCCTGACTGGTGTAGTTCAGTGGATTCAGTGTGGGCCGCCAGTCAAAGGGCCACCAGTTCAATTCCCAGTCAGGGCACATGCCTGGGTTTTGGGCCAGGTCCCTAGTAGGGTGACACTTAAGAGGCAACCACACACTGATATTTCTCTCCTTCTCTTTCTCCTTCTCTTCCCCTCTCTCTAAAAATGAATAAATAAAATCTTAAAAGTCACTACTCCATTCAGTACTCCTCATCGTCTTACACTGTTTTTATTTTTTCATAGCATTTATCACAGTCTAAGAGTGTGTGTATCGTACTTGTTCATTAGGTTTATCTGGCTTGCCCATTCTATCCTGTGTAAAAACGGAAGCACTATGAAGACAGAGTTTTTGCTTGTTTTGTTCATTGCTGAATTCCTAGCTCCTGGAGCAGTGCCTTGCTACATAGTAGGTGCTCAATAAATATTGATATGAATTAATTGGAGAGGTACTCTTGAATAGATATCTGAGTATTAGGGTTGGAGTGCATAGAAAGTGCATTGGAGACTATTGTTTTCCTGGGGCTAGTACTATATTTAGGATCAGATTACTTAACCTAGTTTAAGGGAAAGAATATTTATGTGAAAAAAAGTCAAGAGATTGAGATTGATTAATTTATTGTAAAGAATGACAGGCATTTTATAGTATGCAGTTATGAAGGAACATTATATAAAGATAAATGACCAGCTTTTATTCACCTTGAAGGGGACAAAAGAATAGGCTGAAGTTCCTGAACAATGGACATGAGACATGCAGAAGAATTCCCTGATTTTAAGAATAAACCCTGGAACAGGTGAATAAGGGGGATGGTTTCTCAGAATTGATTTTCAATTCTAGCAACATTCTGGAGGCAGTCGTGTGAGGAGAAAGCACAGAGCCAGGGGTCAGAAAACCTGGCTGTAGTCTAGGCACTTACTAGCTTTTCCTAGTTTCTTTATCTGTGAAGATGAGACTAATGATACCTGCCCTGACTGTCTCTCATAGGGCATTTGAAAAAATCAAGTGACAGAATCAATGTGAAAACACTTTGAAAATTGTAAAGGTCTCTACAAATGTAAGTAATTTATCAATGACTTTATAAAACCACCTTTGTAAGTGATTTAGAATTATGGGATCTGGCTCTGGTCAGTGTGGCTCAGTTGGTTGGAGTGTTGTCTGGTAAACTGAAGGGTTGCGGTTTCTGTTCCTAGTCAGGGAGAATATGGAGGAATCCAGTCAGTGTTTCTCTCTCACATCGATATTTCTCTATCTCCCTTTCTCTCTCTCTAAAAGCAATGAAAAAAATGTCTTTGGGTGAGGATTTAAAAAAAACTTACAATCATGGAATCTGGAAGTTGAATTTAGAAGTCACCCAGTCCAACTTTTTAGCTATTGAAAATAAAATTTTAATTGAATTGAGGTAGAAAATAAATTTTGTTCCATCATTTAAAAAATATATTTTATTTGCCAAACAGGTGTGGCTCAGTGGACTGAGTGCTGTCCTGCAGACCCAAGGGTTGCTGGTTCAATTCCCATTTAGGGTGCATGCCTGGGTTGCAGGCCAGGTTCCCACTAGGGGACACTTGGGATTATTTATTTACTTATGTTTTAGAGAGGGGAAAGGGAGGGAGAAAGCGAGAGAGAAACATCAATGTGGGAGAGAAATATTGATCAATTGCCTCTTACACACCCTAACCGAGACCTTGCCCAGGACTTCAGACATGTACCCAGACCAGGAATCGAACCAGCAACCTTTCACTTTGCTGGATGATGCCCAGCCCACTGAGCCACACTAGTTAGGGCTCTTTTTCAGCATTTTAAATAAGTGGTCATTGTTTTTGCTCCAGCATTTCTGGTGCTGTGCCATTGTTGAACAAGTTCAAATTGTTGTTTTTGTTCACCTAAAATTGCCTTTCTTAAGACTTTATTAACCTATTCTGATCTCTGGAGTTCAAAGATAGAACTACTCCTTTCTTTGTATAACAGCCCTCTTAGAGATCTTCATCTCTCACCTTGAAGTTACTATAGTCACCTAACTGACTTCTTCCATTTCTCATTTGTCTTTGACATGTCCAGCAAATTTATTTAAAGTAGACATCTCATCATGTTTACTGTCCTTAAAACCTATCCCTTTCTCCCTGTGTCTTCAGGATAAAGTTTGACATTAGCTAATAATCGTTATAACTACTGTCATTGAGCATAGGCACTGCACTAAGCAATTTATACATATAATCTCATTTAATCATGACAATTATTCTATAAGATATCAGGGCTGCTTTTTTGCTGACTTAATGGTAAGAACATTGAGCTGTGACTCCAACCAAGCTTTATTATTAATCTGCTACCCTTTAGTATGAAATAAAAGGCTCTTTATAACTTGGCATATCAGCCTCTCCTCCAGGTTTAGCACCAATGCCCTACTTCTCTGCAACAGACCACTTCTGGTTCCCCAAACATGCCATTTAGTTTCACAACTTCATGTCTTTCGTTATGCTACTTTTCTCTGCCTAGAGTGGCCCATCCCTCTCAATCTGTTAAATTCTTGCTTGGCCTTCAGTGACCCATGTTGTTCTCCCTTCCTTCTCACTGTACCCTGGAAGTATTTGTTTTATTATTTGAGTTTTCAACAATTTTACTCACTTTCTTCCTTTTCTTTTAAAAAAATTAAGGTATAGTTGACATACAACATCATATTATATTAGTTTTAGGTATACAACATAATGATTTGCTGTTTGTATGTGTTGCAGAGTGATCACCACAATGATAGCATTGCTCACTAGGGATTTTGTCTGTCATACTTGTATTTTCAATTCATAGTACTGCCACAGTGCCTGTTGCATCACAGGCACTCAATGCATGAGTAAGTGAATAAATGATGTCCCTACTAAGTGTTCTCTTTTTCAGATTAAACTCTTGATTTCCTTTACTATCCACATTACAGTTTCTAGATCCCTCTCTAGTTTCTACATCCTGACTGAGCCATTCCTAGGCTTTTCCACATTCTACATCAGAAAGTGTTGTATTTTAATGACTAGAAGAAGGGAACTGCAACCTTCCAAAATAACTTTTACTGAAAAGTGTACCAAATGGGCAGGTGGTCCAGTTGCCTCTTTGGGAAAGGTTCTGATTGCATTAATTTCTAGCCATCTCATCCATGCTGGTGTGACTCAGTGACTTGAGCATCAGCCCGGGAACCGAAAGGTCTCTGGTTTGATTCCTGGTCAGGGCACATTCCTGGGTTGTGGGCCAGGTGGCCAGTTGGGAGCGTGCGAGAGGCAAGTGATTGATGTTTCTCTCATACATCCCTCTCTTTCCCTCCCTTCTCCTCCTTCTAAAAAGATAAATAAAATATATTAAAAAATCATTTTCTACCCATCTCCTTGCCAGAAAAAAAGCCCAAATCACCTGAGAAAAAAATGAGCAGAGATAGCACTCTGTACCTGCTTTTTTCTCTTTTACCTTCTGTCACTTCAGCAGGGTACCTGCTTCCCACCCCCTTTATAGGTCATTACTGATATAAAGACCACAAGACAAATGGTTTCCTAAGACTTTTTAATACTTTTTAAGAGAAGTCTTAGCTCTTTGGGCTGTAGACACAGTTGAAGAGCAGAGAGTCTGATACTAAATTCCAGGGGAAAGGGCACAGTTCTTGTCCAGAATTGAAGGCAAATGAGTTAGGCAGCAGGAATCTATTAACTCCAAAACTGATTCAGAAATGATTTAATCTTTGCTATTGAAGCAGATCAACAGTGCCATTTGCCTGTCTAAAAATGAGATTACCCAGGATTCTCTTAGAAGAGAATAAATTATTAGTGTAATCATAGCTCCTGGCTTGCATAATATCTTCTTACAACTACATTTTAGTGGCACAGGGCACATCTATTGCATAGTACTAGGATATGTAGATCAGGCCACATTGCCTTACTAAGGGTGTCCAGGGGAAATTAACAATTCTCAGCAACCCACAGCCTTAATGAGCTTGGTTATTGTTAAAATTCATCTTTATCAAAGGAAGCATTGCTTAGTGATTTTTCTTCTAGCCTAACATCCTGGGCATTAGCTGGAATTACTGAGTGATTTGCAGTGGGGAAACCATGAGAGCAATTTCTGTTTTGTCCACAAATTATCATTAGCAGTTTCATTTGCAGATTGAAGGAGCAGGAGGAGTGTACTCTTAGCCAGTTGCAGCTTCCCTCCAATTAGGGCGTTAGTTCAATTATGTCCAATTAACTTTTATTGCAGCTAGTGGTGATAATTACTTGCAAGTCAGTTTTTTGGCCGCAGTTATACACTGAAGTATGAACTTGATGGATTTTAATAACCAGAATGACACATTTCACTCCCTCCCTGCACTGCAGTTAATTTTTTTTTTTAATTTTTACTTACTGATTTTGGAGGGGGAAGAGAGAAACATTGATTTGATGTCCCACTTATTTATGCATTTATTGGTTGATTCTTATATGTGTCCCAACCGGGGATCAAATCCACAACTTTGCCATATTGGGACAGTGCTCTAACCAGCTAAGCTACTTGGCCAGGGCCTGCAGTTCCTTTTTCCATACCTCTTTCAGACAGGAGATCAAAGAAATGTAAGGATTCATCTTACAATTAAAACATATTGTTCTTTTTTGAAGAGCTGTGTAGGATCATATTTTAAAAGAATCTATTAGGAATTGCCTTAATGTCTTTTCATGTTCTGAAATCATAATCATACCCTTGAGTTCATTGCTGCTTATCATAGGAGAATAGACTGAGATGGAATTAAATGTCATTCACAGCAACATGTGCTGATTGTAAGGCTATGGTAATTGGCAAGGTGCAGTTTAGTCTTCTTGCGTTTGAAATTCTCTTCAAAATGCAAAAGTAAACGTTTGTTTTGGGGTACTTTTAAAATTAGTAGAATGCTGAGAACATGTTTTTTTAGCTCTATGGGAATTTTAGTATGTTGTTTTAATAAACAGTTACATAATATATTTAGAAACAGTCCCTGTTAGGTGGAGAAAGAGGGAAAGGAAGAAAACAAATAGTTTGTCTTCCTCTGAAGATGACTAAGTCCCTTTGCCATTTCCCTTCAGTGTTGTTTGATAATTACCCTGAAAAGTAAATGGTCTTGTAAGCAAAATCTTACTTCCTTAACCTGCAAAAGATTGAAGTGGATTTCTCCTAGGGGTGTTCTTAGATCTCCAGGTGACTTGCTGCTGCTTTCATTTCAGATGCTGTTGCTCAACTTAGTGTCCTTTATAGCTAGAGCTTTCTTCCCACGGACTGATCAGTCTCCTGAGATATAGTCATATATGGCAGTGCATTTTAAGAGCCTGTTTTTGTTAGTATTTATTTAATGTAAGGTAGAAAGTTTATGGCTGCTTGGAGGAGGGCCATAATATACTTGGTCCTCCTCCAAAACTTCATGATCACACTAAATAGGAAAGAAGAAGAAAGGATAAGTGATAAACATCATCCTTACGCTACTTCAAAGCTCTTCATTGATTGTTACTGAAAACCTTTCTGCTGTTGAATAACCAAGACCCTGCTTGCCAGCTGCTTTTGGTGTGAAAGTGGAGAAGCTAGTTATACTCTACTTTTCAGGAAGTCTGGAGATAAAGCTTGTGGTGTTACTTGAAACTTTTCATATAGTGGAAGGAAGAGAGTGTCAAAACTCTGTTAGCACTCCAGAATATATAACTAGGCTTTCCTTTATAGCATAGGAGAGTTTGCATGGCACTTGTTTAGGTTCGGTATGTGTGTTTAGAAGGAAGAGCCTTGAAAAACTCTTAAGCCCTGGCTGGGTAGCTCAGTTGACTAGAGTGTCGTCCTTGTACGCCAAGGTAGTGGGTTCAATCCCCGCTCAGGGTACATACAGGAATCAACTAGTGAATGCATAAATGAGTGGAGCAACAAGTTGATGTTTGTCTGTTCCTCCCTTCCTTTCTCTTTAAAAACATTTTTTTAAAAGACCTCTTAAAACATGAACTTAATGACAGTGTTAGTGAATGTTAGTCCTGAAGAAGGGAAGGTCACTAATAACAACTTCTTCAAGATAGACATTTCTTTTGGAACCTTTCTAAAGGTGAAGTT